GTTGATTGTCCCTATCAAAAATTTTCAAGCTGGAGGGGTAATACGGTACAGATAGGTAAAAGCGAATACATATCAACAGTTCCATCACTGTATCATGACATCAGGCAGATCGTGTATTTGATCGCTTATACTGACGTCCAAAAAACCCATGTGGTGAATCACATTGACCATAATCTCCGCTCATCGTCGCAGTTCCTCGTCTTGGTCTTGCGCCTGTGTCTCGTCCAGTTGTTGTTTACTCGTGTTGCGTTGTGCCCCTCCCCCTCCTTGTCAACAACCCCTCCATCAGCGTATGGTCCAAGCAGAGGCTGCTGGGATCAATAGCCTCTACCTAACCACTGAACAAGCACGCCAGAGCAGAAAAGAAACCACAAGGAGGGGCAAAAAAATCATGTCCAGCCACTGTGGAGCCCACACGAAGCGCAGCTGCAGCTCACCTTGATCTGTCGCGGGATAGTCATGCTCCTGGTGGAGGTCCTGGTGAGGACCCCGGGGGGTTAAGAAAACTTCTGACGTGAAATCAGGATGCCAAAATCACGCTGGTTAAAGGCTGCTTGAGATATACTAAGTTTACCCAAGTCTTTTCGTCACTTGGTTCACAGGGCTTGGGATTTCTTGCCTCCCTTAAGGACCTTGCGATTTCATGCAGCTTCAAGTGCCACTCCGATATCTCGAGCCATTGAGGAATTGCCAGATTGTCAAACGCAAAAGTTAGCACCACTAATACACTTTATCCGTATGACACAGCTGAAACTATCATCCAGCTGCTACCCCGGTGACTCTGACGGCAGAAAGGTATCACTGTAAGCTTAATGGAAGAAGAGCCTTTGAGTGTTGTGTGATCTTTCTTCTCCATTGGATATCTTGTTGAACCTAGGAGGCCGTGCTCCCTTGTTGATGGATTGTTGCGACATGCTACACAGACATAGTTATGGCGCATATTCAGGGCGGTTATCGTTCCTTGTCCCCATCTGGATATGGATAGTTTTTGTTGTCACATTGTCATTATGGAGAACTCTATCCGAGGGGGTTTGTCCACAGTGGATATGCCCTCGACGTATGCATCGGCTCCGCCGTAGGCCTGTCGCCTCGAAATTCTCCTTCACTTTACGGAAGATATCGTGAGACCCAAGTGGAGGACGCACCATATGAGAACATCTCATGATTCTTCGATGAGAACTTTTTAAGCCCTCTGCGCTTTTGTAGACCGCTACTATTGATATGTTATGTTGGGGAGAAGCTGAGGTGTCAAGAACTTTGATGATCTCGATGTCAGTTTAGGGTAGCATCAAGACTCACAACACAAGGTAACTTGTAATTATGGAGTTTGCCATGATACACCACCTGATACAACCAAGATTTGCTGTTACCAAGGTATTATTATGAAAGTCTGTGCATGTTTATGACCAATAGTATTAATTGTGAAAATCGAGTGCCGCTATCACCTCCCTGTCGAGCTTGACCTATCCTGGCGGCCAAGCGGAGCCATTCAAATGTCCATATAAAGACACCATCCCCCGGCTCGTGTTACACATGATTGCATGAGTTGGGTATTGTAAGCTCGTACAAATTATCCCAGACAGTACGGTTCAAACCGAATTACTTAACCAGAAGTTATCGATTGTTCAATTGATTATACAGTTCTCGAAATCAGTTGCTTTCTATTCAAATCTCAAGAGCTGAGGCGTATCCAGTTTTGGGCCTTCTCAACACCAAGAAACAACGACACTGCGACCATACAATGCGACCACTCAATCACTCAATCACCAGTCGAGAAATAACAGTAACAGTGCCGATGACTCCATCACCACCACCCTCCACACCCGAATTCCATCCAATTACTGCGCTGCGCCCTGCACGCTCCCGTCTGTGAAACTGCAGCATCCTGTCACTGCCTATAACCGGCCCCTTTTTTCAACAGGATATAGCCCGTCACAATAGTACCTATCCCAACAAGCAATACCAAAAGACTTCGTGGTCGAACGGTTAAAGCATACGAAAGCCCGTATAGAGTAATAGTTAACTCGTTGGACTCCTATAACAGTATAGGGCGTTAGCCAAGGATCCTGGTGCAAATCCGGGTGCGGGTATTTTTTTGCCTTTTTTTGGGGGTTCTACTTCTTGCTACGCAAGTTTGTCTGTTTCGACTCTGCACGCAGTGCGGTTCGAACACCCTTTTGCTCATCCTACTTTGGGAGCTCGAATCACGAGGCAGTGTGCTGTGTACTCAGTCTTAAAGTCTGCTCAACACCACAACCACTGTAGAAGCCTCAAGGAGAAAGTGAGTCGTAACAAGGCGTAAAACATCAAACGTACGATGTATGTTACAATTATCTATGAATGCTATCTACCTCAGTCAAGTCCAGCTTGACCAATATCCATGTAATATACATATCTCCTTCATGAACTAGTGATTGTCTACACACAGCTCTTATCGGACCTTGCCCTCAACCTTCTTGCCCTGAGTACTCATACCCTTTGGCGTCTTCAACCCTCCAAACACCGCTGCAGCTACAACAGCGATACCTGTTGCGCCCATACCATATGCTACCTCACGGCCAGCCCACCAGTACACACTTGTGAACAAGATAGGGCCGAGGCCTCGGCCAAGCTGACCCCAACTTCGTAGCATGCCGAGCTTGTTGCCGCGCTCATCCTCGTGAGCTTCGAAGCTGGAAAGTGCATTCAAACCCGTAACGACGGTGGCGGATGTAACGGCCAGGCATGTAGCAGCGAGATACAGACCGCCGATTGTGTTGACCTGTCCCAGGAGAACGAAGGACGCAAGGCAAGCTAGTGTGCCGATTCGAACAGACATCAGAGGTGGAAGTCGTCGCGTGACACCGCCCTGGAGAATAGATGCCACAAGACCAACATAGCCAAGTAATCTCCCATTCTTGCCGGAAGTGAACGAGAAGAGCTCGTACGTCATAAAGGACAGAGAACTCTCCATGCCGGAAAAGAACAGCAGGAAGACGAAGTGGATGGCATTCAAGAGAAAGTGAGAGTTGGTCCTCTCAATAGCCTTGGGTATAGCCTTCTTCTTCCCACCGTCCTTCGCCTGAGCACCGCGTAGCGATGGTAACGTCTCGGGCAGGCTGAAGTATAGATACACTGTCTCCACAACAATCAGCGCAAGACTGAATCCCGCAGCCGCTGCAAACGGGTTCGCCGTGAATGTCGAGAATGTGCTGAGCCACGCGCCGAGTCCAGGGCCGAAGGTGAAAGCGATCGAGAAGCACGCGCCGATCAGAGCCATAGTTGCACCGCGAGACGACTCATCCGAGATATCACTCGCCATTGCTGTAGCGAGCTGGACGTTGCCTTCTGATAACCCACCAACGACACGACTAGCGATGAATGTTCGGAAATCGACGGCAGCAACCCAGAGCAGGACGGAGAGAATGTTACCACACATGGAAGCTAAGAGCGCTTTGCGACGGCCATATCGATCGGAGAGGGCGCCGATTAGAGGAGATGCAATGGCTTGCAGAAGTCTACGAGTAAGATTGTCAGCTTGCGCCTTAACATTTACAGGCTTGCTTGACGGTTACGCACGAGAACAGAGAGCCTAGAGCTCCGCCCAGCAGCACAATGTCATGTCGCGACTCGATCGGGCGAGAGAAAGAAGCCTTGTATCGGTGGAGGCCAGATAGGACGGTTTGGAGGAGAGTTTGAGGTCCGTCGTGGCCGATTGGCTCCTGGCCTTCTCGGTCGCGGTAGAATTCGAGAAGCTTGGGGAACAAGGGAAGGATGAATGTGAAGGAAATCTAGGGACTTGAATTAGCAAGGAAGCCATACTGAACTATTCTTGTCACATACCAGATCGAGGAGTAGCGAGACAGCAATGACCCGGAGGACTCGCTTCCTCGCTGCGGGATCAAATGTAGACATTGGCGGGTGCTAAATGGGGACAGATAGATTTCAAGTAACAGGCAGAGACAGAAATAGAGACCGGGGAGGTATGGAACGGATGTACAAGGAAACAAAATGGCAATTATGTATAAAAGGAGAAGAAAAGAGAATGAAACTAATAAAAGACCAAAGAGAGAAGCTCAGGAGACAGTGGACACTTGCTGGTCTGACGGCATCTGATCTCGGAATAGAATAGCAACGTGGTGGTTTGGTGGCTGCTTGCTTTGACCGGGCCCAATAGAAATAAATAGCTGCGTCACTACCATTAGGAGAGTGGATGCCCGTGGATAGGTAGTCTCAGGTCTGTGGCGTGCGGATATTCCCTGTTAGTTAGGGGGGTCTTTGCTGCAACCTCTTGACGGAGAAACTCCACATGAGATTGGATGCTTTCTCGATGGTTGCTAATCCTTGAGCTACCAACGGAAGTGCCGTGAATGTTTCAATACGAGATGATAGATCGACACTAGAAGCGAATTACAGGGTCACACTGAGAAGAAGTTAGAAAATATGCTTTTTGAATTGGATATTTGTAATTTTTTGTTCTTGTTTATTTCTCCGATTCTCCTGTCCAACCAGTTCTAGTCCTGGCCTTCAGAAAGATACAGTTCTGTATCTCATAATCCTTTTGGGTTCGGAATTCGTAAAAGTCCATATATCGTATTTATCATGACAAAGAAGATCAACCTCTTATCCGTGCGCCTCATTTGGCTTGAAGATTTGGTGTTGATTGCAAAAGCCTTGCTGTTTATCCATGTTCAACACAGACCGTGAAGCTTTCGCATCGACATCCTCGCCTCCAAAACACGGTAACAAATAAAGCCAGAAGGCTGTTGGAAAGCAATGCAAGACGTAAACTCATGACAAAGAAAAAGGCACGTATGTGCCGCATCTTTAACAGACATAAAACATGAAACTCATAGCTTCTCATGACATAACATGATCGTAATTCCATCATACAAACTCGTTTTCATCAAAGGGTTCATAAGAAAGACATAATAGGCGCTGGGTATCGCAAAGCGGCAACAAAAGCAGAGCAAAGCAAAGATACCTGACCTTGATAAAGCAGTGAAGTGTTTAGCTCCAACTTAGTAGGTTTCGAAGACGAAGCGGAATCCCTCAGATCCCTTGTAGGGAATAGGCATGAAGTAGTCAGCATCAATCTCGCAGTCTCGAACTCGTGTCTCGAAGATGCTGAGGTAGCCAACGTCTCCAAAGCGCTGATCGCCATCATCGCTACCATACACAACACCACCACTTCCCCATCTGCGGAAGAGTTTGGCAAGTGTAAGATAAAGCTCGGCGTGAGCCAGAGCCATGCCGAGGCAGATGCGCGAACCGGAACAGAAGATGTCGAGATACTTGTCAAGTCGCTCTCCGTCCTCCACCCATCGCTCAGGGTGGAAGCCGCGGGCGTCGTAGAAGATGTTCTCGTCCATGACGGTCTTGTAAGGGCTCATGCCAACGATGGATCCTGGAGGGAGGCTCCACTCCTCATCGTTCTCGCGATCATGGTAGACGAGAGCCTCATCGGGAGCAACGCGTGCGAGGCGGCTGCTAGTTCCGATAGCAAGGCGCAGAGCTTCTTTGACGACTCCACGAAGGTAAGGGAGCCTCTCCAACTTCGACAGAGTTATAGTCTCGTAAGCATCGGGGATAGCATCAAAGAGCTCGTCGCGTAGCTTGCGGAGGGTCTCAGGGCGGTTCAAAAGGTGGAAAGTGGCAAGTGACATGGCCCACGACGTGGTTAGAGTGCCACCCTGGACAGTGATCTGGCTTTCCTGTGTGTGGCGAGAGGCAGTCTTGTCACGAACAGAGCGAGTCTTGGTGGAGAGCATGGTAGGGTGACCTCCGTCCATCATCCACTTGCCGCTGCTTTGAGGAGGGTCGACGCTGTGGATCTGTTCAAGAATGTCGTTCTTCATCTTCAAGAACCCTCCCCATCCCGGCATGCATCGGTTTGAGATGGACTCCGGCAGAGCATTGACGAGGGTGAGAACCCAGTCGAGCTGCTGCACACAAGGTCCCATGTGAGTACCGATGAGAAGGTCATTAGTGACCTCGGCACCGAAATCGGGCTTCTCGACAAGGTGGTCGCTTCGAGCAAAAGCGTACTCATTGATGACATCTGGGCCCACTGTTAGAGTTGTCATTGTGTGAGAGACTTGAGACTTACCATTGGTAAAGGCAGAGTAGGGATACATGACATCAAGAGGTTGTCCATTGGATACCTCGGCGTAGTTCAGGAACGCACCCAGAAGAGCTTCCACTCTCTCCTCGATAACCGGCTGCAATTCGCGCACAGTCTGAGTTGAGTAGAATGGGCTCAGCGCACTTCGACGCAACTTGTGAAGGCTGTGGTCGATGGCAGCAAGAGAGCCTTCTGTCGCAGTCTTGGGTCCTGCGAGAGCAGTTGGGTGAGGAACACGGGTACGGGGGGCACCGGACTATTTGTTTGTTAGTTGAAAACCATGAATATCTTGAGCATACAAGTGCTTACCTGTTGGGTGTAGAATGTCCACTTGTCTCGACGGCGGCTGGGTCCAGTGTAGAGATCTGAAAAGAATTCAGGATCTCCTACATGGACTTCCCAGGGGTTGATGCGAACAATAGGGCCATATCGTTCATGCATATCGATGATCTTGTAGGTGTATTGTCCTCCGAGGACAAAGTCGTAGTAGAACTCATAGTATTGAGTCAAAGCGGCCAGCTTGGGACCTGGGATATGGGCCAGAGGGCTGAGCCATAGTCTCCAAATAACAAGCTGGACGAGATAGATGAGCCAGATGCCCGCAAGCAAGCATCCGGTCTGCTGCCAGGTAAGGGCAGCAATGGTCTCTTGGACCGCCATGAAGGTGTTGGAAGCCATTCATGAGCGACTCGCCCTAACAGGACGGTATTGTCATTGAAGGAAGTAAGGATTAAAGAAGATTTATTGGAGTGGCCATGGGCTCTCCAGGCTGCATAGCAGAAGCCTTTGAGGAGATAGATCTCTTGTCAAGAAGCATGCGAGGTGGTGCTGCATTTGTATTTCAAGCATAAGCATGGTCAGGCCTTCACCGCATGGACTTTGAGACCTCTCGATCGGTCGTAGTGGATGGGCTGGGAAGACGGGGAACCCTTTCCCGGGTGCGCGAGCGGGCCGCGTGGAGACTCCTTCAGGCGGTGAACAACAATTCGGGGACTGTCTTGCAGGGCACGGCCAGCTGTCACCGCAAGTGCTGTAAACGTCGTTGGTTGACGAGAATTCGAACGATCGTGGTCACATAATCAAGCCAATAGGTGATGCAGCCGGAAGCCGGGGGAGCTCGCAGCGCTTGTCTAGAAAGGGAAGAACCATTGGATCGCTAAGACGTTGGAAAGGGAGAATCAGGAACCATTTTAGCTCGTGGTTGGTGATTCAGGGGTTGAGCGGATGAATTGGTGACCATTTTTCTATAAAGAGTTTTCAAAGAGTGAGAGGTTGGTAGTTGCAAAGGCGGAGGACATGGATTCTGTGAGAGGTTGGATGTTGGTGGTTGGCGGTGACAAGGGCATATGGGACGAAATCGTGTCTTTGATCGGTTGCATCCGAGCTAATTAGGTTCAATGCACATTGACCAAAAAAGTGGGAGATGAGATGATCAGAAACATGTCGAGAATGCCAATGAGTGTTTGACGTGCTGAAAAGAAGTACTCACGGGCCACATAGACGTTTGGTGTCCGGCATATGTGCAAAAGTGTTACTTAGCTTCAGTCGAGTCTCTGTGTCATCACTCTGTATAATGTATTCAATTAAATCTACAGTATCATACCAGATCAATTGTATTATGATAACTAGCACGTTTTCAATGAAAGCGTGGACGCAGTGATTTTGTATCTATACTTCATTAGTAGCTATGTGAATGCCTTCAGATATCGCCATGATACCCTTGGACAGCCACCCTGGAGCAGCCCCTCACCAATCTCACTCGTTGATCTGTTACCATTGACAATTCGGAGATACTTTGGCCTAAAAGGGTTGATAGTGCTGAAACGGTTGAGTTGTCGACTGTTTTGGATGATCCGGCAACTGTAATCCTTGCTTGGCTATCTATCTGGTACGAGAATGCCGGGTATGTCAGACCATACTGAAGCCATTCATGGTTGACACACCGTACAATGTCAAGCTGCGACGGAAATAATCATGGTCTAATTCTAAAGCTCCGAAAACCACCGCACCAGTGATCTAATGACAACAGTGGCTGCATAATATAGCCTCATCCTACGGCTACATATATGGCCGGTGAAGATGGGAATGGTAGACCGGCCCGGTCTGCATGCTTTGTGTATCACACCACTGAGTATGTATGAAGCCTAGCAAGTGTCACGATGCTAGGCATTAAAATATAGAGCAGTTTTGCTCGGGTCATGAATCATGTTAGACTACTGAGTCTGGGCACTTCTGTAACTCGTGGTATAAGTCCAAGTTGAAGCTATTCCAAGATCACGGCAATATCCTACGATGCATGCTTCATTATCCGTGCACTGAGCAGACACTAGATTATCTAGATAACGATCATATCATAAAGCTACTACCCTCCAAGTGTGGATGCTGCATCCGATCTCATGCATCAGCCAAAGACGCAGTAGCGGAGGCAGACACGGGATCGAGAGGTTACCTCTGATATAAATGGGGTTTTCAACTCAACATCCCGCGTCTGATACTCCACCCCCACACAGAAATCCGGGGTAAATGCCTCCAGTTTCTTATTAGTCCCAGATGTGAAGCACCTAACTTACTGCACGGGATGTCAAGCTTAATAAAGAGATAAGAACTGCGACCCCTCCATTGTAAATCTTGTCTTGTCTTGTCTGTGACGTCTCTGCACATTCTAGACTGCGGCTGCTTCCGCATCTTCAGACCCCCTCGGCGCTAAAGGTCACATCATATGGATTCAATATCAACTTCATCAACCTTGTAGCCACAACCACAAGACGGACTTTTTACCTAGTTGAATAGTGACGACACGCAATAAGATCAACGGGACCTTGCATTTCTAGGCAGTTTCATGAGGCTTTTAGCTTTGACCTCGGCGAACGTTACGCCTTCAGAAGAAAACGGCTGCTCATTACCTCGTCTGGAACCAACACGCCACGGGTAAACGGGTTTCAGATCCTTCGATCGCCAACCCTTAGCTCTCTTCTCCCTCGAAAAACCCCTCGTATTTCTCATTCCATCGTCGATCAATTCAAGTGCCACCGTCATTGTCGTTCCACTCTCCCTGATGGCTTGAAGCTTGCGCCAACTAACCAAACGGCGCGGCCAGACTCCCAGGATCAATATGGAGGCTCTGCTGATCTTGCTGTTGTTGTTGCGGATTGCGAGTTGCTTCTCAAGCGAGAGGGCAAGTCGTTGGCCTTGAAACGGGCTGGAGAAGATGAGATGTACGACGCCGAACTGCTTCATCTGGGGATATCCCTGGGTAATATGCAGTTAGCCTCTTCTTACATTGTTCGTCGGCAACCACGGTTCCACAAGATCCCACACTCATCTCCACCAACCAACCCAGCGAATTGGTTCGAGGTCACGATGGCTCATAGCCAATACTGTAGGGCTGCACTATGCAACACCGTTTTCCACCAGTGGTTCAATAGTCCACAAAACGGGTGCACTATTGAAGCCAAACGAACCGTTGTCGACCGATACAACTGTGACGCCAAGCGGATATGCGAGATTCCAAATCGTGTTTCAATGATGGGTACTAGGTAAGGTATCAATATTAAGTTGGTCCTGCGACCAAAGACGCACTGATATGTACGTTCAAATCTATAGCCATCCAATGTTATGTTACCATTTCCTCCTCTTCTGATATCCAATCCCATAGATCATAATCCCGAGACCTGAGTATTCCGTCTAGTACTTTTCCGAACCGTCCCAAAACAGAAGAAAGCATAACTCCACAGCACCGTCATCCCATGAATTCCTTTTATTTCGATCGGCAGTCGATATCATAATCGCTAAAGCAGTGCGCAGTTCGTGCAAGCATGTTGGCAGGCATGATTTTTACAGCAAGACTCTGAGGAGCGTTAGAAAACATGATGTAGGAGTTCAGGAGTGTCAGAGAACTAACCTGAGGTCTGCTGGCTCATGACAGGGTATTATCGCAAAGCTTGCATCGTCTTATTGCTGGCAAACGAGCTGGGGGCATTTTCCCTTTGGAGGCTTGGGGCAGCTGGGCTTCGCAACGCCAGTAGTGTCATAAGGTCCGCGAGGCATGATGAAGGTGTTTTTGGTTGTTCTTTGGTTTGGTTTGTTGAGGTGTGTCGCAAATAGGTTCGTTGTCCCAGAAAGGCAGACAGTACAATATGCTGATGAGACGATAGAGTGGTTGCGTTGCAGATTGTGTTGTGCGTAAAGCAGCGGCAGCAGAGAAAGGCAGAGCAGATAAGATGCAGAGCGACTGGAATTCAAGGGCACGCACAAACAACGAAGAATGAATATTGATGAAAAACCAACGAAAGGGATACTGATCACGAAACGAAGAATTTATGTCGGGGACCTATTTGTCTTAAATTTCATTTCTGGGAGACTACTCCGTACAGCCAGCACCACCCCCGTTGAAATTTGGAGGCTCGCGTGGCTTCTAACCTACGCACCGATACTTCAGTCTGGTCTGTCTGGTCATTGCATTGCCTAGGCGGTCAGGACTCAGCACACTGCTACACCCCTGGATGACTTCCAAATACCCCCTGTGCCTGTGTTTACGGTTACTAGGATCGGCAGGGGCCGTGAGCCGTGAGCCTCTAGGTATTAGCACTGGCACTGGACTGTCGGGAGGACAACTCAAGTTTCCGGGCCCTGGACTAGCAACAAGATGTGGCAACTTTGTTTACTCGGGATCGGGAGCCATTGTTTGTGGCGTTGCGTCTATCATCTGGATGAGAGAGGGAGAGAGAGAAGATATCTCAGACATGAGAAGAGAGAAATCTCCAGTTTGCACTATGGGATCGGAATTGCCAAACGCAGGGCGAGGCGAGATGAACCAGATCAAGGGCGTTTGATATGGACCAGGGGTTGTCAAACTTGAAGGGATGGATGGATGGATCAGTTGCAGTGGGTGGATGGGCCAGCAAGCACCAGGAGGCTTGTGGGGAATACACTAAAAGAGCGGCTTTGGGGACCAGGATAAGGCATGTTACCTGCTGGGGACCTCTATTCCAAACGGAATTCTAGAAGAGACGCCACGATGAGCATTGGGCTGTTTGGGGACCAAAGAAAAGTTCGCTAATACGTTGGGGCGCAAGGGGAGGAAGAAAGCAATGACCAAGTCGCAAAGGAGAGAAGAAGAAGAAGAAGAAGAAGAAAAAAGAAGAAAAAGGGACGGTGAGCGATTCAGCTATGATGGCATTTTCTCGGTGTGGCATTATGACAAGTCGCCATGGCTGTCACTGAACCGAACGACACATCATTCTGGTTGAGACAAGATCAAAAACAGGGAGACAACAAAGGATAAAAAAAGAGTCAATCCATTTAATTACTTGACTTGACACAAAGGCAAAAACACTGATTCAAACGAAAAAGCAATACCTAGAAGTTAGAAGATCACTTACTGTTCTGTTCTGTACTGTTCTGTACTGTACTGTACAATACAATAACAGAAGCAAAAAGCGTATTCGCAACCCAACTCTCGTCATCCCATGTCATACCAGTACCACACCGCACCAGCTGCGCTGCTGCACAAAAGTTTCAAGCAAGTACACGTCTCCCCGGTTCTTCAGGCCGTGTTGCATCGATTTTTGTCTCCCAATCTAAGTCGAGTGACGTCTGTATGCCCACCGCTTCGGGTTGGCCCTAGCCTTTAGCTGAGCTGGTCTATTAGTCTCCAGCTCTGTCATGCTAACCATGGATCCATTGCTGGCTGATGTTGCTGGTTGTCGTGTAATTGGTGTAGTTACTCTGTCTAGTCTGTACTGTTACTGTGACAAGACCCCTTTCTCTTCACCCATCCATCCATGATCCATCCATCCATTGCCTAGCCAAGAATCTCCTTCGCACGAGCCAGTTCATTTCCCGAGCTACGGTCATGACCACGTTATTATTTCAACCGGGGACACTAATAAAGACCCAGCCGCCTGTCACAGCCCTGCCAGTCAGTCGAGACGAGATAGCCAACCGGGAGTAAACACCAACGGCCGTCTGGAGTTTTTGAGTTCCCACCATCCTCCGTTGCCTATCGCATCGCCTGGCATCGCACCAACGGCAACACTGCTGCTCGGCCTTGTAGCCTGCCTAGGCCTGCTAAACCATCCCAGGTCCACGGACCCGTGCCTCTGCCGATCGCTCGGATCCTGTTCATGAGGTTCCGGGAATTGGGATTGTCTAAGTGGCAAGGAAGGTTTCCCGAGTACGGTTAGCCATGTGAAGGAAGGTGAAGTGAAGCAAACTGAAGCAAGGTATGGGTGGTTATGGGTAAGGGTAAGGTATTATTCTTCCGACATTTGACAGGTTTGGGGGCAAACAACTGCGACACGTCAAGATTGGCATTCTGGGGCCATCCTCTTACACGCGAGCCTCCAAATTTGACAGACCGACCGACAAGACGTTCTCAAGACGTTCTCTCTACTGTATTATTCGAGCAGTGTAAGGCCAACGAGCTTCACCTCGGTCGTTGATAATGTCACTGGCAATGAACAAACAGCAATCTTGACAAGGGGTGCTCAATACGAAAGACTTTTTCTAAACGGCGCTCGTTGATGAAGAAGGAAGGGTCTGAGAGTATGACATCGCCAATCGGAGTGCGTTCCATGAGGACGGTCCTGTCTTAGTCTTTTTGGAATTCCGAATCCTAACTAAGAACCAAATGGTGCAGTCTCCATCATAGTTACCCGTCCTCCTTTTTTCCCTTTCTTTATTTTCCCGCCCCGACCCCGACCCTGACTACCTGATCCTGACTGTGGTGGGTGGGTTCCTTAATTCCACGGTACATGGAACCGAAAGAGTCAGATCACCCGGGGCGGCGGTGCTCATTTCTCGATAGCATGTGCTAGACCGTTGCAGAGGAATCCCTGCTCGCCATGCGATCAGAGGCAAATCTGAACTGAAGGTGGTTTGGGGGTTCGACAGATGCCGTACAAGTGCCGCGTCGGGGGGAGGGAAAAAAGGGACCAGACGTTGCAAACAAAGATGCTGGGGGTGTGGTTTACGGATACATACATCACAAGTCGACCGCTTCTCTGTCTAAGTCAGAAGTCGTTGGCAAACAACATCCATATGTACAGACACGCTGTCTAGCACGAGTTGAGCCCAACAACCCAGCCCAGGCGTGTCCTGTCCGGGCGCAGGGATCACATTCCCCGTAGCCCCCGGACCGCGGCAGCGTCAGACTCAGAACCGTGGCTCCGGTGCCGACGAGCTAGCTAGCTTCTGTTGCTACTGGGACTGGTGGCCTAGCTGGTATTTCTGCCGGGGGAATTGCAGGGTTTCAGGATCAAAACTGCGTCCACCTGTAAGGTTGATGACAGTAGGCGAAGGAAAATTGTGTGCTGGCTGGAATCTGGAATAGGGTTTGGAAGCCCGTGATGGAGAAAAACCCATGACAGATGAACTATGCATCCCAGACCGCCTGTTATTTTTCTTCAGTAGGGATGTGATGTGTATCCGTACCACTACCGGCCGAGATGTCAGATTGGACAAGATCCGCTTTGGACAACGAGGCTCGTAAAAGAAACATGGTTGCTGTGTCCTGTGGGTTCTTTTGCCTTTGGGTCACAGTTCCAGAATATTTCCCAACAAGTCAACCCTGCCAGGCGGTTTGTGATGTACAGATACAGTGTATGATGTCGCACCACGGGTGTTGCAAGCTACGACATATTGAAATAGGAGGTTTGTCAGCACATTTTTGCGGTGCAGGATGAAACAAGTCGAGACAGAGCAATCTGTGCATGTTGTGGGTAGATAATGTTTCAATATCAGGACACCGCCTTGTTAATAACCTCGGGTTAATGTCTCCGGTTATAAACAGTCCTGTAAGGGACAATTTGGCTAATGAGATCATGTGAAATATGAATCTTTCATTACGACAAAAGTAATAATATCGGCCAACCTTGATTGAGCTTCCAGCATCACCAGCATCGACCAAAGATTGTAGTTCAGTTTCAGCGCATGAACAAACCGAATCATACACATCTAACTCGGAGTGACATTCATGCTTGCTCATGAACTCAAGGGTCTGGATCAGGTTCATGCTATCTCTGCACCAACCATGTACGCGAGATCTACCACCAAAAAGCAATGTGCATGAGGAGCAACCATCCAACAGCCTATCGTGTTCAAGATTTTATGTCAATGACTCGCAATATTGATTTACTTTAAGTTTAGGAGACGCAACGTCCCATAAACTATATAGGAGTTTGAGAGTCAGAATCAGAGTCAGAATTAGAATCAGGGGAGCGTGCTATCTGGCTATGTCCTTGTTGAACGCGAGTCAACGGCTCAAACTACAGCCCAGCTATCTATAGCACCTAGCTCGACAGACAACTCCACCACTATTCCGATCACTATTTGGCAGCTCAGAAGTGTCCTATGAGACTATCGCTCATGACAATTTACTGAATGAATAGCTTCAATTGCTATTCTGGCATTCCAATGTCAGCCACATACCTTTAGATGACGATGCTGGCTCCCTTCACGTGACACAAGTTGTCTGCCTTCCACAAGTGTTTAGCTCGGCTCTCAGACGTGACCTGACCCCATCCCATCTGTTCCGTGCTAAATTAAACGCGCCTTGTCTCCGGACCAGACAGACAGACACTGACCTCCACTCTTTGTGACTTCTTATACATATCGACCTCTGCACTGTCTAATACTATTGCCCCTTCGCGATGCCCGCCTGCCATGGCTGCCGAGTACGCAAGGTCAAATGCGACGATGGAAACCCCTGCTCGCCATGCCGCCAGTTTGATGTGCAATGCATCAGATCCACTGCCCCAAGGAAACGCCAGAACCCGAAGCGCGGGCGTCTTGTAGCCCAGGCCAGAGAGGCAAACCTCCAGCACCAACAGCCAAATGCACTCTCGCCAAGCGCTTCTGTGTCTCCTTCGGCAGTTCACTCAACGCCTCATGCGGCTAGTGACTGGCCGCCAGGGAGTAGCCCTGGTTCAGCGATTTCAGGCCCCTATTCGCCAAACTCTGAGGCATACACCACTGGCTTCTTTCACTCGCTGCTGCCCGAGTTTGAGAAGGTGGTATATCCTTTCAGCCCTGCCATCACGCCTGATGAAATAGTCAGGTCAATATCAATGATGCATCACAACTTCGAGGATGCAGCTCTGATATATGCCTATGCTGCTGTCACAACATTTCTATCACAAACCGCGGACAACTCACATGGTAGTGTAGCGGCGCAAATAAACAACCTGGTATATCATAGTCTCGAAGCACAACACCGTGCTGCCGTCGGCTCCCATGGTCCAGGACGTGTAGAGGAGGTAATGCCTCACAATATCAAGCGCATCGTGACATGCATCTATCTCGAGATATCAACTATGGGGCTGCCTCGACTCGACAGAAGTTTCAGCTTCATCCGGGAGGCTATATCGCTAATTCAGATCATGGAGGCTCACCAGCGCACATTACCAGATCCCACTCGGACGCCATATCCCATGGCCCGATTTCAGCAAGTCTATTGGGAAGCCTACATCCACGAGAGGTTCCTCACCATCGCTGATGGTTACCCCAGTATCATGGGACCTCTACACACCAATCTTTCAGCACCGGACTCTTCCACACCAGAACATATTCGAGTGGGCTTCAACTGCCTAATAGAGCTCTTCCTGACCTTGGATGAGACGTTCCTCGCATGTTGGCAGTCTCAAAGAGGTGCAATTGGCGGGTTGACAGTGCAGTGGATCGAAAGCAAGCAGGTGCAGCTTGACCAAGCCGAGATGAATGCTGCAGCGGCCGAGGCAAGGATGCATTCCGAGGGACACGCAGGTTTCACAGAACTACAGCGCGCGGATCTCTTCATCACTAGACTCTGGCTTCGCACGTTGCTCTGGCAATTAGCACTCTCCCAAGGGCTTTTGCATTCAGGGTCTTCAGATACGACCCACGAAGGCTTATCGCTGCAGTTCCCGGCGTCTCGATTATCAATACAACTCCGCAACTTGGTCGGGCAGCTGGATAGTATTGTGAGTATAGCGACGCAAGGCAGCGGTATCATACAAAAGCTCTTCGAGATCGCCAGCACAATTGCCGACGTCCTCGCTCTACCCTCAGGGCACAGCCAAGCAGAGGATGGACTGCGACCACACGTCAAGGACTTTCTTTACGTGGTCAACTTTTTGCTAGAATTGGGGTTGATGAGAGAGAATCAGAAGGATTATCTCCGCGAGAAATATCACATGTTGCAGCCATTGAACACCGAGGGAAGGATGCCTGCACATGCTGGTGAGCAAGCGGTGGCTTCTTAGAATGATGGTACTATCTGGATAGTGTCCCGGTACTTGGCCATAATAGTAAACGTTATGATCCTTCGTAGTATGCGCAGGTTGGTAGAATAGGATTAGCCATGATGAATGATGATTACCAAGCTTTCCCCAATTTAACATGCCATTTTTCAGAGTATTGGGTTATTCCAGGCTCAGAAACTTATAGCGCACGAGCTCATCTGCAAATCTTAAGAATAAGGCCTTTGTCTGTGAAACTGACCTCTTACACGAATAACTTATAAGCCCAAGATACCAAGGTTGATCATCCTCCAGTTCCTGTAGATACAAGGGTTTTACCTCTTGGCGCCACTCAAAGAGTCCCCGCCCACTCAAACGACGTCAAATAATATTTTATCAGCACTCAACCCACGTACCCTAAACCTTTACCACTTTCAATGTCAACCATGCATTTTCAACCAGTCGAGCAAATGATTGACGAGGCGTATACTGCTCGTCCTCAGGGCGAACCTGAAGCAGATGCTGCAGCTACCAATGATGCTCTAGACGATGTTTTTGGCTCGGGACCTTCGTCTCCCACTGATTTTCGTCCTGACGATGAGTCAGCAGCATCACACCCCTCAGATATTCGCCGTTTGCAGGCAGAGCACACAACTGCTGGATACCGCGAGGGCATTACCGTTTCAAAAGAAAGCAGTCTTCAAGCTGGATTTGACGAGGGGTTCAGTCTTGGTGCAAGCGTTGGCATGAGAGCAGGTCAAATTCTGGGCTTGCTCGAAGGCATCAATGAAGCGGTTCGTGGTCTTAACGAAGCAGATTCTTCCAAGATCGCCGAACTCCTGAAACAAGCACGGGAAGAACTCAGTACACAAGGCTTGTTCACGCCTGAGTATTGGTCCGAAGATGGTAACTGGAAATACGAAGTCACTCCAGCTACGGGGGCCGAAGATGTTGTGTTCTCAGATGTAGCTGATGCGCATCCACTTGTGAGGAAATGGACGGAGATTGTGGATGAGCAAGTCACTATGTGGAAGATAGATAGGAGCATCTTGGACGACGAGACAGGGGTTAGGTTGGAGAGGGATGAACCACTTGGTTCCGGGGCTGCACTGACGGCAAAGAAGCCGTTAGATTGGTGAACACGGGAGAATCACACACTGCAACGAAGGAATACGAAGGGGTAAGTGCGCACAGGAAAGATTGAGGTATGTCAGCTGGTATGTTTACGGTTCGCTTGCTGACCATGCTAGACCAGAAGATTCTGCCAACACCTGAAGGGTGGCGTATGGGATTGGCATGAGTTGTCAAAGAGCTAACTTGTATTTATTGCCACAAGATGTGCCCAAGCGCAGCTCCATTGAAGATATTCTCATGGCCCACGGCGTGTTTCCCAAACCTCGCCTATTAGCATTAGCCTCTGCTGATATGGTGTAAGCCATCATGCCGGAAGTCTAGGATCCGCTCAATCTACTGCAATGATAGTGGGCGTGAGGTAGCTGACTAGAATTACGTCTGGCCGTGTATCAATTGAGCTATCTATCTCGGTGATACTGAAGCATTATCACACAGGGCAGAGTCCCACCACGACTCCAGGAATCCGAGACTCGAAATGTTCTCTTATTCGGATTCTCAATAATGCACTTATCCACGCAACACAGTGACCAGTCTTGTCGGTGAATCAAGCACCGTGCTACTCCGTGTAGCCTGATGCTTGAGTTGGCGTTGTTGCCCATATTTGCTTACACACCGACAATTCAACAGCCCATGCGAGGTGTCTCAGGCGCAACACGTCGACAGTGCCAGGCCCCCGGTAGGTAGTAAGCATCATAATGCCCTTCCTCGGTTGATAAGTATGTGCAATGCATTGTGATCCCTGTGGCTTGCATTGTATCATACCCCTCCTGACACCGCTTCTCTAGTGCTGGGTTCTCAAGGTGTCGAAGGGCCTACTACTTGAAGGGGCGGCGATAACGGCTCCTTCAGTTCGCTGTTTGCAAAGTAGGGATTGTAGCTGGCTGAGTTCATATCGATCCCACTCCCGAAGCAGATCACCTTTGATTCGAGAATACCGTATCATGCAGATCCCTCTCCGTACTTGAAACCTTACTGAAGAGGAGCTCAGTGCGTCACACCAAAGTCTAGTTGATGGCCAAGATGACTTCTCGTTGACCGCGGATCTCAACCATTGACATATGCCTGGAGGGTTTTGGCCACGTCTTCGATTCGCTCATACTTTCCGTAGAGCTCCTTCGTTGTCTCCCAATCACGGCCTTCTCTGCCAAACATCATAAGTTTGACAACCCTTCCGTCATTGTCCATAACAACTCTGCCACTTCGATCATCAGCCCAAGAGAATCGAATCTGTTTGGCCTCAATATCGGCTATTCCAACCTCGACAATGTCATCAGGCAGAACCGTATCGTCCACCCTGTCGTGCAATCCGAGGCTCCGTCGCAGGTCCGCAGAGACACCGAGTCGGTTGTGATACCGCACGATTTCTCTTCGGAGCGCTCTGACGAAACGATCGAGGTTTTGCTGGGGAGACTTGTCGCTCTCCGGCCGTGGTGCCGGAAGATAACGGGCTGCCAAGCCGGCTATGGGTATCGCAGAGGGCAGAGTGTTTCGGTGGATGCGCAGGTATTTGGAATTGAAGTATGGTCTGTTGAGCATGACGTAGTAAGGGAGCAGGAACTGGCTCTTGGACATGACTTCGAAGCGCAAGCCAAGGACATGCCCTCCGTCAACTGCATTGGGATCAGGGTCTTGGACCTTGAAAGCAGTGACAGAGCTGCCTATGCGATAAAGACATTGCTGGCTATACGCTTTCTGTTTGTCGGCTTCGCTCAGTAGCTTCGTACGGGATGGAATATTCCGAGATGATAGAGAATTCTTGGATGGTTTAAGGAAAGCTTGTGTCGAGGGCGCAGCAAGAATTGTTGATGTTTCGATTTTGAGCGACTTGCGCAAAGCAGCGGCTATTTAATGCATTAGATCATGTTTGATGCGCCATTGTGAACAACGACTGACCTTGTTCTTTAAGCGCTGTAATTTCTTGATCAAGGAGTTCACTATCGGTTGGAGTAGCTGGTTCGGATGACATGATTGTCCAGAGTGTATGGGATGAAGAGATGGTGAGTAAGGTTGCTGATGATGTTGTTTTGTTACAGTCTGTTTACAAACAATTGGTTTTCTGGCTACCATTGGCTGAAGCTGTGACTGGGGGGATGATAAGATAAGAGATATCAAGTTTCCAAATTTTGACTAGCATGGAATGGAATGACCATGTGATCTCTAATAATAACTTTTAATACGCAGGCAATACAGGCCAAAGTGAGGTATTCCATGGAAATTCTGTATATTTATTGAGCAGACTATCTAGGCTCCGTGTAATATTGCTACCGCACCTTTGTCAGCATTTCTGTCAACCAATGTCTTGCTTGGTCTCCATCTGTAAGTCATCCTCGAGTGACAGATCGGACTTGTTCTTATTGGCTGTAACCCCGGAACATCATCAGCAGCCAACCCCTGACGCGCTTCCTCTTCTGGAAAGATGCGAGTTCCGAACAGTCCTTGGCTTTTGGGGTTCAGGTCTGCTATGTTCACGCAGCGGTTTGTGAGTGTGGCACCTTGTTGAGTTCAGGGTCAGTTTAGGTATTTCAACGGTTTGAATAAGTTATATAGAGGGTTGAGATTATTCCAACCACTATCGTGACGCCTATTGAGATATCTCTTACGTAGGTAGTTGATATCTGTCGCCACTGAAGCTTTCAAAGAGGCCAGGTAGAAGAATCATCCTTACCTATCCCCATTCAAGACCCTAGATCCATCTCTAGGAAGCAGTCCAATCATACTTCACCATTAAAGGCCACGGTAGCGGGAGCCTGCTAGGTTCCCTTTTTTCATACGCCAAACCGTATCCGAAACGCACGCCAGCAGTGACCTTCTGTATCTGAGGCCCGCTTCAGATTTACTGGCCTAAAATACCTAGCTCAGCACTCCAGGAACTGACAAATACAAGTCTTCCATTTCTTCTTCATTCCTTCAACTACAGTACATTCTCTCGCTCACTCACTCAAACATTATTCTTCACTTCTCTTCGAATTCTACTTCTTGGCTTTTCACAGCTTGCGACCTCCTATCCTTGGAATTCTCCATATTATACGTCACGACAAGACATCTTGAACCCACCCGCATCTGACTTTGACGCTTTTGACGCCTCGTCGCATTCGTTCAACCCCCCTTTACATCCTTCTCCACGGTACTACCACTCCTTTATACTGTACGCGCCGTAGTCCCGACTCTCCGTTACTCTTGGCCCCTATGACCGCCAGGGCTCGACGACCTCAAAACAAACCCGCCCGGCCGCCCCTGACGATCAAGACAGAAGCAGAGGATGCGAATGGACACGGTCATCTTAACGGCAACGGCAAAATGAGCAGCGGAGTAGAGATGCGCCGCAAGTCGGCCAACCCAGACGTCGATAATGTTGCGGCCAACTTCATCAAGAGCGAGTCCTTTTCCCTCGACGATCCGATCCCAAAGACCCTTTCTCTTAACAATCATGGTTTCTTCGATCTTCCTCGACAAGACCAGAGGAACTTTCTCCTCTTGGTGCTATTATACTTCTTGCAGGGCATCCCCATGGGCTTGGCCACAGGCTCTGTGCCATTTTTGCTGAAGAACCATATGTCATACAGCGAAATTGGTATCTTTAGTCTTGCTTCATACCCTTACTCCCTGAAGCTCTTCTGGAGTCCTTTCGTGGACGCTGTTTGGAGTCCCAAGATTGGTCGGCGCAAGACATGGATCGTCCCGATTCAGTTTCTCTCCGGCTTCGGTATGCTCTGGTTAGGATCTCATGTGGAAGATATGATGGCCTCCGCTGGTAAGCCTGGCGGCATGACAGCGTTCTCGTTCATGCTTTGGTGGTTCTTTCTCGTCCTCATGTGCGCCACCCAGGATATCGCTGTGGACGGCTGGGCGCTCACTCTTCTGACCCCTGGAAACGTATCGTACGCTTCAACTGCGCAGACTGTTGGTCTCACTGCAGGCCACTTTATGTCATACACTGTATTCCTCGCCTTCAATGCCGCCGACTTTGCCAACAAGTGGTTCAGGGCGGTTCCCTCAGATGATGGCCTTCTCTCACTGGGGGGATATCTCAAGTTTTGGGGTTGGTCATACATCATTGTCACTGTTGGACTCGGCCTTTTGAAGAAGGAGGACAAGTCGCAGAACGAAGATGGTGTCTGGGACGTCTACCGCATCATGTGGGGTATTCTCAAGCTCAAGAACGTCCAGACCATTATCATTGTTCATCTGATTGCCAAGATTGGCTTCCAGGCTAACGACGGCGTTACAAACTTGAAGCTTCTCGACAAGGGCTTTGGCAAGGACAACATGGCGCTGACAGTTCTCATCGACTTCCCATTCGAGATTGGTCTGGGCTACTATGCCGGAATGTGGTCGCAAAAGTATACACCCATGCGCCTTTGGTGCTGGGGATTTGTGGGCAGACTTGTTGCTGCTCTCTCTGCCCAATTCGTCGTCGCTATTTTCCCCGATGAAGGAGTTACATCATGGTATCTGTTGGTGGTCATCGCTGAACACCTTTTCTCAACATTCACAAACACAATCATGTTTGTCGCTGTCTCTGCTTTCCATGCGCGAGTGTCTGACCCGGTCATTGGCGGCACTTACATGACACTGCTTGCAACGTAAGTAACACCGGACTCATATCTCGCAGGTACTAGGCTAACAATTTGCAGTGTTTGTAATCTGGGCGGCACATTCCCTAGATATTTCGTGCTCCGGCTCGTTGACAGCTTCACTGTGGCTACGTGCGAGCCTGGCAAGTCAGATGCCACGACAATCAAGGGCACATTTATCAAAGATGCATTCTCATGCGCTGTACAGTCTGAGAAGGAGAGATGTGAGGCTGGCGGCGGAACATGCCACATGATCCACGACGGATACTATACAGTGAACATATTATGTGTTCTGTTTGGTGCTGCAACCTTCTTTTGGTACATCAAGCCAAAGGTGTTGCATCTTCAGAGTCTACCTCTGCGGGCATGGAGATTAGCACCGGGAAACGAGAACAAGCGATAGATCAAGAGGAGGAAGAAGAAGTCTAATGTTAATTTGGCAACATGTACAAGTAGTAGATTGGGAAGCATGCGCTGCAGCGCTTGATACCAGCGGATATATTAGCACAATATACTTAGATGGTTGCTCATTCACAAGATGGTAGCCCTGGCCGGTCAAGTCAAATACACTTTGTTTAGTTATTAGCTCGCAGTTCTAACGAGTTAGGTCCGTCTATATTGATGGGGAGCTTCAAATGCCGATAAACCCCAATACACACCAAACGCCACGCAAATTCGAAGTATTATGCCCAGTTTGCTATACACATAGCTTCCCAACCCCACCCCAGATTCTGATCATGATCCCCTGCTCGTTATGTACGTGACCAGTTGCGGAAGAACAAAAGAACGATGCAAGCATACAAAAAGATAGCGAACGTGAATAACACCAACAAGACACCGAAGAACAAGCAGTCGAGACATGCGCGACCCCACGTCTCCCTGGCGTCTTCCTTGGATGGCCTCCTGTGTTCCTCTTCAGTTGAATAACCGTGGCGGTCACTCAAGTATGAACTGCGTCCGTAGGGACGTCGAGTGATAGGTTGTAGCGTATTAAATGGTCTTGCTGCATCAACATTCGGTGATCTGGCAGTGGGAGGGAGAAGGGGAATGCGCTCTATCGGACGCATATACAGAACGGAACTGTCGCTGCCAGATGAAGCCACTGGACTGTACTGGGGCGATGATGAGCTGCTTCCATAGGGAGGTTCTTGAAATTGGTCTGCCAACTCGAGGTCTAGAGTTCTGGGAAAGCGTTTTCGAATTCGCGCCGGAGTACGATATTCTGAAGTTGGTGATGCGCTGCCCTCGGACGGGAGGATTTCAAAGCTTGAAGAGAGAGGCGCCCAATACCCCCGAGAAGGAGGTTCCAGGATATTAACCGAAGGACGCTCGATCTTTGGGACATGACGAAGGCGAGCCCTCTGTTGTAGGAACTCTTCTCCCCCAGGCTGCCTCCTGTTTCCTATCAGAGCACCGAACTCTGCGTTGATCTCTGCTTGTAACTCTGCGGTGGTAGGACCCGGAGGTGACGCATAAGTAATAGGGAGATTGTAATCGTCGAACTTGGAGATCAAACTGAGATCGATGGGCTCAGGCCTGTTGTCGCGAGGACGCTGCGAGAAGAGTAGGGCATGGTGTGGCTGAGTCCCAGAGCGGAGGGGAAGAGGTTCGTGGTAGTGCTCGCGACCGCTGGAATAAGCCATGTTGATGACAGTGGAAGGACTGAATAACTTCCAGACACAGTATGGAGAAGGAGCTTTTGGAGGCTTGTTGGAATTCAGATAGGTGTGGCAAGAGGTAGCGGCCGTCAGTAGACAAGGCCTACAAGCAAACAAAAACTTCAGCTCCGTTGTCAAAGTTGTCGATGTGAAGGAAGCGCCAAGAGAATTCGTGTTGGGAGGCTGAAGATTCTTATACAAGCCCGATTTGGTGAAGGTCGGGAACAGCGGGAGTGTGAGCGGGAAAGTACTTGAACAAAGGGCCTGAACATGAAGAGGGTACTGTGAGTTTACTTTCTGTTCAACAGATGGACCACTGCCATATGATGATTATGTTAATGTCCTATGAATATGCAGCTAGTTCAGTCGTGAAGATGATTTGTGCGAGAACGTATGGTAGAAATGTCAATGTGGTCGATGTTCTTTGCTGAACGGTCTGGTTCACCTGGACAAGTTGTGATGCTAGACTGAGAAAGAATATTCAAGGTAACGAGTCTCTGTCCAGCCCCAAAAACTCGTATTTCACAAGCACAGATTCCTATAGGATTGAGAGGCCAATTCTCACTCTATGAATATATAATGCCATAACCCAACACATGCTGCCCCGAAGGACTTTAACCCAATCCAAAGTCCTTAAAGGATGAGTGTCGAGCTGAATCGCCAGTCTCCAAATTACACCAAGCGAAGTATTAACAGAAAGTCCAAGTTTACAGAACTTTTTGACGAGCCCATTC